CACTCTCGTTCTTATCCAAATTTTTCCTTGTCCATTCATCCTCTTCGCATGCCGCTTGTCTTCTCGTTTCATTCTCGACAATTATCGTATCGTTTTCGTTATCGGTTTTGCACACGTTTTCCAATACTTGTGATTCCAAATTTCTCTCTACTCTATTACATTTAATTGAACACGATTCTTCCAATTCCTTATTAAAAGTTGAAATCGTTCGAGACGAGGCTAGCGTATTTTCGATACTTTTCTCCACCGTTTCTATTTCCATTAATTTCCTTTCGAGTTCATTCGATCGATATTGTTCTTGCTTCTCTTCCTCTCCCTCTTTCATCTCCTTCTCCTCCTGCTTCAAATACTCCAACGAATCTGGCGTAACGTTCAAACTATCTTTAAAAGTTTCCTCGATCTCCGTTTCTATTCGTAAATTTGAATCTTCCAGAATTTCTAATTCTTCCAGGACTCGTATTTCATCGGTATTTCGCTCCATCTTTTCTTCCGTAACGAGTCCATTCTCTTCACAATGATATTTCCACGAGTCGTTATCGTCGTTCGCATCGCTCTTCGAATTCTCGCTCTCGTATTCTTTCTCAATCGCTTTCGAATCGATATTTGCAATAACTTCGACATCTTTGCGATTTCGATTCGAACTTGATTCTTCGCGTCCACGACACAGCATCGTTTCTTCGTTCAATCGGATGTCAGTTTCGTTCGATAAAAATGGTAATTCAATTAAATCATTCTCTTTCTTTATCGGCTTCGATCCGTCGCTCGAAATCGGTGGTAGAGTGAAATTGTTCGTGTTATTCCATTCATCGAATTCGTAATTCGCGACATTCCTTCCTGTAGAAGATTTTCCAGAAGATGGTGGTCGCGTAACTACAGACGGAAGCACCACTGAAATGTCAATTCGATCGATACTCGTCGCGTCGTTAGAAATTTCATTATTTCGTGATTTATCGTTAAACGTATTCTCTTTCGTTTCGTCATTTTTCAATTCTTCTTTTTCATACTTTTTTCCCAATCGCAAACTCAATTTCGCGACATCTTCTTTCTCCGTATCGCTCAATTTTTCTTCCAATTTATGCATCTCCGTCTCGTCATCCTCGATCGTTATCCTCTTCCATTGTTCTTTCAAATTTCGAAACATTCCACCCTCTATCCCATATTGCCATCGCTGCGCTCTCCGATACTCCTCCACGTTCCCGTTCGATTCTTTTCCACCTTCGTTGTTTACGAGTGATCGGCTTCTTCTTCGACCAACGATATTTCCATTTCCATTCCCACATTTAAAACGTATACACGTTCTTTCGATTTGGTCGACACTTTTTTGCCTTATCAAATTGCACGCGTTTCTCTCGCATTTCTCGCATTTTCCTTCCATCTTATTTATTCCATATTTATCCAAAGCAAAGTTACGCAATTTTTTCCGTTTTTCTTCCACTTCCTCATCTTTGATATCTCTCCTTAATGATATATTATCAGCGGACATAGATCGAAAACATTGTCCGCAGATAATTTTTCTTGAAAATTGATGCGCACAATGATCAATATGATCGGGATTTGTTTTCTCAATCTCTCTTCTCTTTGATCGTGTATCGCACAAAATATTTTCACTTTCTTCGACGTGACACGTCGCATATTCGTGTTTTTTCAATACCTTGACAGTTTGATTCATGGACCAACCGATTCCAGTTCCCATTTCTCTTTTTTTTTTTCGGCATCACATTCGTTCCACTCCTCTCTTTTATCGTAGATGTCATTTCTTTTTCCATTATCCAGTTATCGTATTTACAAACAAAAAAATGATCGTTCCAATTTCTAACGTCACCGTTATCACCATCTACCATGTTCTTATTAAATCCAGCCCAATCGAGAATATTATCGCTAATTTCACGATTCACCGATTTACAATCCAAAATCTTCGAAACGATTTCATCGGTACGACAACGTTCTTTATCCCTCAATTCGACCAATTTTGCAAAATGTTGAGCCGCAAATGCGTAAATATTTCGAGGTTTTTGTCGTAAAATTTCTCTTGAAAGTCCTTCAACCGCGTGAGACAAGCCTCGAGGTACTCGAGGTGCGATTATACAGTCCATCCTTGACATTGTAACGTACGCGATTTCTTCGCGTTTTTTTTTTTTTATTTATAAAATTTACATATAAAATTGAACGGAAACAAATTCAATTTTTCATTCGCATTTTTCTCCCTTCTTTATAGAATTATAGTGATATAATAATAAATAACGTGTTAATGATTAGGATACGATTGATGAAAAGAATAACAAATTTATCACTATTAAGAGGTGGGGGGGGGAAAAAAAAAAAAACAAAAGTAATGGAACGAAAGCACCGCACCGAAAGTATCACGATTCCACTTACCGAAAGTGAATAGGCACAAGTTGCATATTGTAAACTAGGGATTACGTACATGTATATACATAAATATACCTATACATATATATAGCACATACAGTTGTTTATTACGCATGCACGGAATCGATCGATGGAGAAACTATAAGTTATTTAATTTTATTTTTATTCGATATGTCAACCACGTATTTTACTACATATATCAATTTCAAAATGTCGATAAACCGCACAATTTATTTTTCAAATTTTTTCTTATAAAAATCATGGATTAATTTTTTAACATTTTTGGCAAACAAGCAAACAAGCTTCTTTCCCTATACTGTAAGCACTTATATGTATTATAGTATATATATATATACATATATACTATAACGTAAAATCGATAGTTCAACGCTACCAATAGCGTTACATACTTTTATCTTATTCGTTTATTATTTTACTTTTCACGAAATTATACATAATCTTATTCGATGTTTCTCTTCTCTAGAACATTTAGTTTCGAGAAATAGTAAAAAATAATTTTTCTACGTTATCAAATTTTTGTAATTTAAAAAATAATAAATATATATTTTTATATTATAATAGACCGTTTTCAATATGAATATTAAAAGATATTACAAGTATTATTTTTATCTTCATCGTAATCATACGTTCAAATTCAAAAACGATTCGTTTATTATTTATTTTGCAAAAATATAACGTTCAATTTATTATATTTAGATACAAATATAATAGAAAATATCGTGTCAAATGTAAATGTGAAAATTTTTTTACTTTTTTAATTTTTTTTATTCTCGTAGCAACTCATGTTCCAATATTAATTTTTTATATACAGAGTAAAAAATAATTAATTTTTCAAATGTTTTGAAATGTTTTTATCCATTTATCGTTTTAATTATAATAATATTTGAAAATTCTTATTCGTACATATATAGCGATATAAATTCTGATTCGAGAGGGTGCAAATTCGTAGCAGGAATGATCAAAGAATGAAGAGGAGGACCCAAATCGGTAGAAGCCATTTTTTCAAGGGAACAAGCAACGATACGTTGATTGTCCCAACCTATACGAGCTAAACCAATTGCAAGGCTGGATTTATTTAATAAAACTGAAAATTCACAATATTAATTTATTTAGTAAAACTGTAAAATCGACAATATTAATTTTCTTTCGTAAATTATCCAATTTATTAACGCTTACCCATTTCCTCCTTAATGTTTTCTTTCATTTTTTCTTCCATAATTTTTAACAGTTGGACAACAGCTTCCGACACGCTCATAAATCGCGTTGGCATATATTCTTTTTTCTTTTTGCTAATACTCTCTATAGTAGGTTCTTTTATTTTAATATCCAATAAACATAACGTGTGAAGATCTCTCCGTTTATTGGAGATTATTTTATCGTAGAAACTATTCGGTTGCCAATCCATGCTCCAACAAGGGATAGAAACAGTTTCTCCGAAACGATACAATTGTAAACCGGAACATCCGATTGCGGTTAATATGGAACAATTGTGAATAACCTTTACCTATGAATGATGGATATTGTCTTTTAATATATCGATCAAATATTGTAATTTTTCTTTTATTAATTTTATTAAAGTCGTCGTTTTTTCTTCTTTACCTTGATATTTTTTGCCCGAGCTCTTAATATTAGGTCTGAATGTGTGGTAGCACCAAATGGATCACCCACCACTAGAAAAGCAACATTTTCCTTCTCGTCCTTTGGCAATATTTCGTCCGCATTATTTTCCACTAATTCTCTATCCGCCTCAAGTATCGAACATCCGTAAAATCGTTCCTAATTCGTTGAAATATGCTATCGTTCATCTCCTAATATCGAGCGAGCAAATACAACGAATAGCAAATTCGTGCACTATTATTATTTACTATTAATTGTTACATCATAGGCACTTTCATTACAATATACCTACCAAATCCTTCAAATCGATAGACAAAATTGATGTGTATGATTCTAAGTAGACACGATCGCTCATTCGAATAATTTCAAGACCTTTTACAGTCACATCTGTTGCATCGCCAAGGCCTAATCCAATCACGTATAACATTTTATACAAAATTTTAAATTTTGTTCACAGTAGACAATAATCAATCAGCAATTAAGATTTGTATTGAGAATTGTATTGAGAGTTGGATAAATAAACGATAAATTAATATATGTAAAAGTCATAGAAGCAAACAATTAGATTCGTTTTACGAATCTAGTTACCGGACATGAATAAAACCATGTGATCAAAATATAGGGAAATCAAGATACAATTTTCAATCATGAGATATGAAATAGAAAGTTATTTTTCCATATTTTAATTTGCTCACTCAACCTATTCGTTACTGTAAAACAATAAAGAAATAAATAAATTGTTTTTAAAATAAAAATGCATAAATATACCTTATTTTTCGAGAGAATAAGCAAAAAATTGGCCTCAATATCGACAAATATTTATGTTATATTTTATGCAACAATATGAATCGATCCTAATATAATGATCAAATTTCATCAGTTAATAATTCAACTACTACGTAAAATTGATTTATCACGTAATTTGATAAATTTAACAAATATATATTTATAATATAAGAAATACATAAAAGATACAGAACGTAAATGAAAAAGAAAAGAAGAAAATGTGAGTGTTAGGGCAATTCACATTTATCACTATGTATCATTTCAATAAATATAGTATCAAACTGTGTTTTTCGCATGCGTGTTTCGAACGTACATTATGTTAATATCGAACCATTTAACGTTTAACCATTCGTTATGATTTTTGATGTGTTTACCATAGTGATCCGATTATGATCCGATTATTTTCATGTGAGCATTCTCAATATTAAATTGTAATATACATTAGATAAAATACGGTATAATATAATATATATATATATATATATATATATATTCATCAAAAAGGTTAGTATATACCGCATATCGACACTGTGATTTAATATATTATATACATCCAGAGATTTCCTATTGTCCGTAATATATGATATACGGATATAATGCAGTTTGTATCGTGTAAATATATGTTCCATTTTTTATCGTATTTACAACAATCGCGTGTATATTATTTTTTATTATTATTGCTAAATTATCTCAATTAGATACAACATATCATTTTATATATATACGGTTTTCTTCTATTTTTCGCTATTTCCAGTGTTTATTATATCGGTGAAATCAAAAAATGGCATTGCAACGTTCAACCGTTGCATTTCAAACTATCTATAATTTAAGAAAAATTGACGGAGAAATAAAATTACATCTTCGATCAAGAACTACAACACCCTCAGGTGCCATTCTACCGGAACCAAAAAGAACACGTTTTGGCTTTTTGGGTGTTATTTGCAGTGTCATGACAGGATTAGTTATAGGAACTACATTGAGTAAAATGATGGCTAATTTTCTCGAAGAAAAAGAATTGTTCATACCTTCGGATGACGATGACGACGATGATTAATTTATTTTCGATGTACATATTCTATTTATATAAGGATAAAAAATTTAAATTAGTCTTTATAGTAGTATTTCTAAATTTATTCGGCTTATATTTTTCATATTAAATCTTGATTAACTTTTAAACGTGTCTTCAAACTTTTTATCAGTTTTAGTAAAATGTCGTATCGTATATCGTTCTCCATTCTTTACTCGCAAGTATAGAGTTGATTTCTTCTATTTTCAAGAATAGATATCAAGATTTTTTGTTTTAATGAAAATTTATATTAACAAAGTAAGGTTGTCCAAGCTGTTCGCTGGATTTTTGAAAATTTTCGTGAACGACGAAAACCACGATCGATGAAATTTAATTAATAAAAAATCGGGTAGATAGGAGATATAATTACTTAGATATATAAACACAAACAGAAATGTGGCGCGGGAAATTAATTTAATTAAGAATTTAAATATCAACTTGTATCAAGAACGTTCAAAGTCGAATTTCTTGAAAATCGATGTTCAATTATACAGGGAAGCAATAAAAATGGAATTCATTTACCGGGAATAAACGAATTCGCGATGCTGCAGATTAAATGAGATTTCATTTTTATTATATTTGTATTATATTATGAAAAAAAATGTAATATAATTTAAGAATTTTTTTGCAAGTATACGAGTCTTACGTGTATAAGAGTTTTTAATTCTTTTTGGAATTTTATTTATCGTTAGAAAAAAAAAAAAAATAATGAAAATCAAATTGCGTATCATTTATTCGATATAATTTTTAAAAAGCGAATGGATTTTGTACATAAATTGTACGTACATTTATAAATATATTCTATTAAATTGCATATAGATAATCTATATTCACAATCGTATAAATATTTTGTATATAATATTTTAATTAATTTCAAAATAAACGCGATCGAAGGAAATAAACAAACATGAAGAGAATATCCGTATATTAACAATATCTTTTAAACAAAAGTCTAAATGTTTAACCGTTTAAAAAATTACAATATTTCTTGAGAATTAGAAAATTATTTACATAATAAATTTATATATAGATAGTTGCTTTGTTTAAAATTTGCCTTGATCAAAAAATATTTAACGAAAACGATAAAAATTGAGACATTCTATTTTACCAAAAAAATTATTTTATTGAAGCGGCCTTTTATGCGAACTCCAACCATGAAAGCATTTGGTGAATCTTCGAGATTCCTTTCCTTTCGCAGTTAGATATAATTTACGCGGTTTATCCGGTTGTTTTACTCGTAAGTGTTGGATGTATACCTGAAAATTGAGTATCCTCATTTTTCACTTTTACTCTCACTTATATCATACTATTTTGTTCGATAATTTTTACAAATTGAATATATTTCATTCATCGTTCATTTTTACCTGAGCAGATTTATATGCCAATTTAATTTCTACTTCTGAACATCGACTTCCCAACCATAAAAATACTTGTTCACCATTATCAAGTATCATAATATCATCATCCGCCAAATCATCCTGGAATAATATTAACGAAATATATAAATGTGCATATTAAAATAAAAAACGCGAAACGAAACGAGCGAAAATCAAATAAATTTATCAAATAAATGTAGTATTACTTGACAAAAGTCGGTGCATTTTTCGCTAATAGTAAAATATCCTTTTTCGTTCGAACATCTAAAGAGTCTAGTATAATTCATATATTCCGCATCATTATCGTATGGTTTCTTTCCACCAAGAGCTACCCAAAAAAAATTATCCGGTTCTTCACCTTCATTCAAAACTTGTAAACTTATCCATGGCTGTTAATAATTCGAAAAAAACAAACTATATAGAATTTTATATTTGACAGAATACGAAATACGACAAATATAACAACAAACATACGTTATTAAACATTTCTTCGGCGATCTCTTGAATCAAACGTGCTTCCTCGCTATCAGCTTTGGAACCGATCCAAGCATATACTATTCCTGTCTCATCATCATTGTTAAACGGCACATTTAAAATGTAACTGTGGAAGAACATATGTAAATAGAATAAAAATATGGATAAAATAAATAAAAAAGAAGATTATTATTATTATTATTATTATTATTATTATTATAAAAAATATGCGAACAATCATACCAAAATGAAGGATTCAATAGCGTTGAATCAGCTGGTATTTGTATCAGTCTGGTACACAATGCACTTCCATTACTTCTCAAGTGATAAAATTCGACCTTGTTATTACCACAAGCTTTAGGTTGTTTACGCTTACCGTGATGAATAATGAATTTTCTTTTAAAATATGCCAAGAACTTCAAATTTTCTTGTTGTTGATGAGTTCTAACCACTTCCAAATTCTCACCGAATAAAGATTTAAATTTTTTCTGTAAACTAAGAACAAATTTCTATCGTTATCGATAAAATCGTATCAATATCGCATTATTTACGTATAATTCGATAATATACGTAATCACTGATTACACTGATTATACACGATTCGCGTACAATTAAAATAACATATCGAACAATTCACATACAGTGACAATTTTTCTTGCGCACCTAAAGGTAAACGTTAACCATCCCATATTTCCTGCATCTCTGCCTTGCCAAAAATACACAGTACATTGATAATCCTCTTCAAATTGTTCATCGCCATCCTCATTTTCCGTCGTATCTAATGGCTAAGATTATTAAATACGAAAATATTTTATGAAATATGAATATATTTATTATGGCGTGATAGTCAAAATTCGACGATTAGATACAACGAAAGAAACAAATTATTACGTACCATCCAATAACGACACAAAAAAACGTAACAATCACCGCTATAAAAATGCCCTAATTCTTCTTCCGGTAAGCGTACAAATTTTTTCCCTTCCAAAACTAACGCTTCCATCCCCTCTAAATCATCATTCCATTCCAACATTAGCTGTTGAGCTTCGGTAAATGTCATAGGTGGCTGCCTAGGCATAAAGAGTGCGGCTAGATCTGCCTATGAAATGTGCAAAATTAATTTATCGATTTGCATTTGATGAAGAAAACAAAAAAAAACAAAAAAAGAAAAAAAAAAAAAAAGAAGAAATGCGACCATATCAAAAAATTTTATCTATTTTTATTTCATTCGATACGTACTTTCGTTTCCTGTTGTTTCGCCCATTTTGTAAGATCCGCACCAGTTTTGGCAACTGATTCGGCAGTTCTAGTGAAATCAACCGCTATAACTTCATCCCATCCAGCAAATTTCGATTTAAAAATCTAAATTTAAAAGAGACAATGATAGCGTTATATATATTCTCTTTCCTTTTCCCTTTCCCTTCTCTTCCTTAATCAAAACAATCGGATAATTTTTCCTTTGAAATTCATAAAATACCATTATATACCTGTGATTCAGTTCCTTCTTGCAATCTGGTTACCATCGCATATTCTGGTCGTTCTATCATGTTAAATAATTCTTGAGATAATTTAACCGCTGCTGCTCGTACCAATCTCGTAGATTTTTTACCGAACCTACAATTGAACATAATCGAATAATATAAGTGAAACGCGCGCATGTATGTATGTCATAATTTTGATTTTGTATTTGCATTAAACGTTACGAGTATGTACCAAACGTAAACATCTACGTGACAATCTAATATATAAACATTTCGATTGTTTAAAAGCGTGTTTCTTAATTTCCCATGAGGTACTTCGACTTGAGGTAATTCCAAATAACCCATACCAAGTTGCACTTGATACAAACGTGGCGCGAGTGGTACAAAATTCACATCTACATGTTCCTACGACGAGAGATATTAAAAGATAGATTTTAATATACGGTTATACATAAAATTTACTTAGATTTCTAAACGCGCAAATTTTTAATCGTTTCAAAAATTCAACCAAATATTAACTTACAATTATGGTAGGTGATAAATGCGAGGCATCTTTAAAGTTCAAACACGATAGAAAATCGTCCGATTCTGTATTCATGATTTCTGTTATGATCTCAGCTTTATTCTTCCTTTCGTTTTTATTAATCTTTTCAGCCATTAATCTCGCTTTCGATTTCAGCGTACTTTTCGCTTTCTTGCCGTACCATATAAAAATCTTATTTCCTGTATCTAAGACGAATACGAAGCCCGGATCCAAGGAATCGAAACAGACAGGAACGGGTTCTAAATGGATCGAAGCATCGGCAGCGTGTACTCTGTACAATCGTGTTATCGATGGCTGCTATGCGTTAATCAATTTGAAAACAAAGCATGTCGAATAATAACACGTAGAAAATAGAAAATTAAATACCAGAAGAATATCCAATAATACAAACCGTATCTTCGACCGTGTAAAATCCAGACGAGGTACGACCTCCTTCGATATATGTAATACCAGATTCGAATAACATTAGGAATTCATCCGATTCTTCGCCTTGTTCTTCTCTAATAGTACGGCATTGCGCACCTAAATAATTACGTAAATTTACGGCATGAATCGCAGCACAAGCCCTCTTGTCCAACTGTAAAATACATCGATTTGTTCGCGACCGTTATCGTACCCGATAATGGTTAATCATTATAAAAATCTAATCGCAGAATAAAACGTACCGTAGCTTTTTCTCCTATCCAAAAATAAATTGCCCAAATCAAGGATCCAGCTTCATCAACCTCGGTCTTTAAAACGATATAGCAATCGCCTTCATAAAATTTTCCGTGCGCTACTTCTTCTATTTCATTGGGTAAAAAATTTTCTATTTCCCATACAGACAAACCAGGAATTTGACCAGCATCTTCGTCAAAAAATTCGGAATAATCCAACGGTGGTTTCTCCAGAGTTTCATCCCATCGTTTAGGCCTTTAAAAATAAAAGAAAATGGCAGAGGCAGAGGCAGAGGCAGAGGCAGAGGCAGAGGCAGAGGCAGAGAGAGAGAGAGAGAGAGAGAGAGAGAGAGAGAGAGAGAGAGAGAGAGAGAGAGAGTAGAGAGAGAGAGAGAGAGAGAGAGAG